ATTTACATATCGAGTCCCAACAGCAACAGTGTAGGGATGAGCACGAAATACTGTAAATTAAATGCTGAATGGCGGTTCATGCAGAGAAAGAACATATCAATATTCACATATTCATTCAAAAACATGAAAATTCTTAATGGAGTACCCTCATTTTTTATTGAATTCCTAAAAACCAATATTTATAATGAATTTTAATAATTTTTTCGGATTTTTTTGAAGCTTTATTCTGACCGATTCACCCGATTCCGATCCGGATCGCCGATTCGCCGATCCGGATCGGTTTTTAAAAAGCCCGATCCAAGTCACCGATCCGGTTTTTAAACCATTGGTTCAAACAAAGAAATATGGCCCTACTCAATGGAGACCATGATTGCATGACAAAGATTATGAGATATTCATTTCTATCATGGTCCTGTAAACTTAGACACCAAGTAGAAGATTGGGCCCCATTTTAAACTTAGACACCAAGGAGGGAGCCCATCTTGTTATTAGTCACATCAAATTATATATTTTATTGTTTTTAGCCCCAACAAACAATTGGAACGTACATATGCGGGTCCACCCACTTTTTTCCTTTGTCCACGCATTCATTTCTTCCATCCTAAGGAACTCACATGCATTTCTTCCATCCTAAGGAACTCACATGCATTTCTTCCATGCTAAGAATAGCTTTTGATAGACAAATGAAGTACAGTGATATTAGAGTTAGTCCCAGGCTTTAGTATTGAAAATGAAATTACATATATTAAAATTAGAGCCCATCTCAAAAATTTCACTGGACGAGGTTGTTTTGATGTTTAAATATCATTAAATTGATCATCGTGACATCAAGATGCATGGACATGAAAAAAAATTGGATTTCAATTTTCAATATTTTCAAGTTCTCCTAGATTTGCTCAATCTACCCTATTGTTTAAGTTTTAAATTTTATAATTAGATATAAAAATATATTTTGAGGCTATCACAAAAAATTTCAGTATTGAAATCGTGTTTCTCGATACTACTTGAATATGTGCTCTATTTTGATTGTTTAGAGCCTCGGCTCTATACAAATTGCACCATTAAAATAATGCTGGAAAGTGCAGTTTAAAAAATTTATAGCCTTCTGCTCATAAATTTTGAAGCCCTGAAAATGTCACATTCTCAATGATAGGGTTAAAATTTCTATACAATCAAAATTACATGCATTTTTTTTATGCCAAGGCTAAAAAGAAAATGGTCCAACTCTTGTTACGAATTGGGTATTTAGCACATGTATTACACAATCAGTAAGTTGTAGTTCAAATGGACATTAAATATTTTTTGTTGGGTAATTAAATGGACATTAAAGACACAATATGCAAGTCCACAAATAGATTATTTCCTTAAGAATGAAAAATAAAAGGAAAAGTTGTGCAAAATGGAAAAACTTTTACCTAACAAAAAATTATGAGATTTTGAAATTGTCTTTCAAAACACAGATTTAAAAGGATAAAATAAAATTTAGAATAATACAGTAAAGGGAAAAAATATGGTTGATGTCGAGTTTCGAAGATTTGTAGCTGCAGGGACCGCCTGGGTCTAGTATTGTCCATTGTGGTCTATGTATTGGAGTTTAAAATGGGAAAAGAATGTATTTTTAAATTAAATATTACTGATTTATGTACATTGTTTAAAAAATATTCAATATAACATATTCTATAACATACACAATACTCATTAGTATGCTCAGGGAAAAAGTGTTCAGAAAAACAAGTTTGCACAGCAACCAATTTTACGAAGGACACGGTTTTTATGCGGCCTGCCTGTATATTATAGAAATTCGGGCTTGACAATAAATATATTTTTAAATATAATTTGATCTTAATTTTTTGAGCATATATAATTTTTAACATGGAGATCATGAATATGAAAAAAATAAAAAAAAATTAAAAACTCTAACTAATAATTATATTGAAAAAACATTTGGACCCCGTTAGTTACAACTGTTTTTAGTTGGACCACCTATTTGCATCCATCATTAAGATGGATGCTTTATACTCTGGACCGCATATGGTAGAAATGCGGTCCAGCCCGCATGAAATAATTTTCCTTCTATCTAAAACTAAGCAAACATAACAGATGTTATATCACTTGCAATTTGAAATTTCATAAATTGATGATATATTGGCGATCATGGTAATATATAATGGCCAATATAAACCTCAAAATCACCGATATTTTACCATATTTAATAACTTTGATTGTATAGGATACATTGTTCTAACTTCTAAATTTCAACCCTAACATGGTTCATTGGACTTTAGCTAGGTTTTTATCTCTTTTGTGTTAGGAGCGGACCTATCCATCGACCGTTCAAATCATTTTCCCAAATGAGGGGGGCTAGCTCATTTAGTGCCATTTCTCCCTATTTACATATTTATTTATTTTGAATTTGGGTTGTGTTAGGCTATTTCATTAATGTTGTGTTTTCTAAATTTAGTCAATAGCTTTGGAAACTCGAAATCTTGACTTTAAGGCTATTTTAACATTGAAAAACTATATGATTGATCATCTTGACATCGAGATATGTGAATATGGAAAAATAATAATAATATCTGAAGTCTAAAAAATAGTATATCTTGCAACACATTATGTAGACCGTCTGTTTTTAGTATCTCATTTGTTTATAGATCCACTTGATTTGTACCATTTTTTAAACTTAAAATTTTATAATTAGAGATGAAAATAAATTTTCTTACCGTCTTAAAAAATTTTGACACCAAAATTGCATCTTATAACAAAGTTTGGATGTGCACCTTACTTTGATTGTTTAAGGTTTCGGCCTTATACAACCCTCACCACCTTTACTTTTAATTGTGATTTTTTTGGGGTATTTTCAGGACAATTCAATACCGTTTTTTTTTTTAATATAGCAACTTTTAATAGGGGTATTTTGGGTAATTAATTAAAGACGAAGTAAATTTTTTTGTAGAAACAATAGTTATTAGTTATTGTAGGAAAGGACATTAATGATATTACCCACATAAGTGATGTACACATCTTGAACTAGTGACTTGTTCTTAATAAACTAATAAGTTTCATTGTCACATTTTAAAGTGAAATTTATCAAATTACTAATGAGAGATGATCAATTTAAATATTTAGATTTGATTTTAAAACACCCAAAAAATATATTGTCTTAACTTGGAATAGTTATAAAATAGTATAACATAAAATAGTTTATCTTGTGGGTATTTTGATAATTTTTTATTTCAAAATATATATTTTATATCACGAGATCTAACATCATTTATATAGGTGCGAGATATCCTAAACGTCTACCTTTTATCAAACATAGTGGGAAACATAGAGTACTAACAGATTTATATCTAAAAAATCACCATGAAACACTAATTGATCATTAACAACTCATAAAACTTATAAATATCCCTTGTAACTTTTTAAGAAAAGGATGTAAGATAGATGTAACATTACTCATATAGAGCATCAATTAGTTTATGGCAACAACTAAAATTAATAAATATTATAATTACATTTTGAAAAGGAAAAAGTTTATTAAGGTTGTAGCCTTAAAATGCATAACTAATGTGCACCTAAAACATCCATTGTAAAAAGTTATTTTGAAGTTAGAAAACCTTCAAATTGAATATTGAGATGTATGAATATGAAAAAAAAAAGAAGATATTGAGTTCCAAAATCGTGTATCTTACAATACATTATTTGGACCATCCATTTTTTAAATTTAAAAGTGTTTATAGGTATGCTTGATTTGAACCATTTTTTTAGTGTAGAATTATAATTAGAGATAAAAATAGATTCTCAAACCATCCTAAGAATTTCTGTCACTAAAATTGCATCTTAAGGTATAATTTGGTGGTGAACTTTACCTTGATTGTTTCAAGTTGCAACCTTATGCAAGTCATATTTTTTTAAAAAATAGATGGTCCAGATAACTTGTTACAAGATAGAATATTTTTAAGATTGAAATATTTGTTTTATTAATATCCATACATCTCGAGGTTGAGATAATTAATTGAAAAGTCTTACAACTTCTTAACACTATTTTCTGATGATTTTTGAGATGCAACTTATTTCTAAGTATAAAGTTGCAACCTTAAATATATTTCTCCTTTAAATTATGTGTTTATTATTATTATTTTTTAGTTATCATTTTCTTGTACCACATATGGGAATTATTATTTTCTTGAGCCGCATGAGATTTGATATTTACATGAAAAATACTTTCTGTATATTATTTATTAAACTAATACTGGTTAAAATACGATTACGATAAACTATAATTTTCTATTTACGTAGTGCTCACCTCTTTGTGGGACTTTTTCCCGCCTCTATTTGTTATTTTCTTTCTGCTTGCCCGTGAGTGACACGTCCCGAGTCCCTCTCTCTCTCTCTCTCTCTACTAAAACCACCCCATCTCTACTAAAAACCTATATATAAAGAGGCCTGCCATTGCTGATCGGATACCTGCAATTTGTCGGACTTTCGAGAAAAGAGTAAGAAACGATAGGCGAACAATGCTTTGAATCAGCAGAACTCATTGTTTCAAACAGTGAATGAGTTTCTCCTTCTGAAAGAGTTGGAGTGAAGGATTTCTCTCTCTACGTATCAATCTGATTGTGTGCTTTGCACTGTTAGATTCAACTTAGTTGCAGTGAAAGGATTTCTCTCTCTACATATCAATCTCCTTGCTCCCTTTTCTGGCCTGATTGTGTGTTTTGAACTGTTAGATTCAACTTAGTTGCATCGAAAGGATTTCTCTCTCTACATATTAATCTCCTTGTGCCCTTCTCTAGCCTGAACTGTTAGTTTAAACTTGAGTGCAGTGAAAGAGTCTCTCTCTACATATCAATCTCCTTGTGCCTTTTTCTCGCCTGAACTGTTAGTTTAAACTTATTTACTCTCTACCTGTGAATCTCATTGCGTGTTTTGAACTGTTATACCCTTTTTGAACAGTTAGTTTAAACTATATATCAATCCCATTTTACCCTTTCTCGCCTGAACGGTCCGAATACTTTGGTTGAGTTGATTTTCAGTCCGAATACCTTGGTTGAGTCGATTTTCTGAACTGTCCGAATACTTTGGTTGAGTTGATTTTCAGTCCGAATACCTTGGTTGAGTCGATTTTCTGAACGGTCCGAATACTTTGGTTGAGTCGATTTTTAGTCCGAACACCTTGGTCGAGTCGATTTTCTGAACACTGGTTTAAACACAATTGAAGAGATTGGATTTCTCTCTCTCTGGTTTAAACACAATTGAAGAGATTGGATTTCTCTCTCTCTGTCGTTGTGCGTCTGAACTGCTAGTTTACTAGTTAGAGGATTTTTCTCTTTAAATATAAATTTCGGTTTGCGTTTCTTAGCCTTAGTTTAAACTTTGAGGCACTGGCCTTGGCTATCAAAGGGTTTTCCTAAATTTGAGAGAGTGAACAATGGCTCAATATGGAATGCAAGAGCCGAGGAAGCTTCGAAAGACATCGTCTTCATCATCAGTGGAAGACGGTGTTGCAGAGCCTGTTGATCCTGCGACATTTGCAAGGAGGTGAATTATAATTAGTTTTTTTTTACCAGATATATCTCCTCATTTCTCTCTGTTTTTCCCTTTTATGAAAAATATCTACTGCTATGAATGATATTCTTGTTTGATGATGCAGTTATCAAATTGATGCATTTGAGATGGCGAAGAAGCAGAACACGATTGTGTTCTTGGATACTGGCGCTGGAAAAACTCTGATCGCTGTAATGTTGGTGCGTCATTACGCCCATTATTTGCGAAAGCCATCGGATAATGTGGCGATTTTCCTTGTTCCCACTGTTCATTTGGTAAAGCAGGTAGGTGATGGCAACCTCTTAAAGCACATTAATTTGTTCTTGACAATTCTGGGTTTTTGACAAATTCATACATGAAACTAAAATTTCCTTTTCCATTTTTTTCTGAAATTAAACAGCAAGCTGATGTGCTTAAAATGTACACTGACCTTAAAGTCGGTGTATTCTGGGGTGAGATGGGGGTTGATTTGTGGAGTGGGGTGAAATGGAAGGAACAATTGCAGATGTATGAGGTAAATTAACTGCTTCTTTACCAATCATGCTGTCTCTCTCTCTCTCTCTCTCTCCTCCCCCAGGGGTCTTTCTCTCTCTTTCTCTGTATGTTTCTTTATATGGCTAGAATCTAGCCTCGAGGCATCTAAATAACAAGTAAGAAATTCATCACTCTTTGATGTGAAAGAGTTGGTGTGCATGTATTTTTGTAAGTAATATCAATATTTGGACTTGATTACATCTATTTTAGTGTGTAGTAAAATGTTGCATCTGCTTTTAAGATGGCCAAATAACTCTTTTTGGTGGGTACATCAGGAGCTTCAGGATTTGATTATCGTGAATGGAAATTCGTTGGCTTAAATGCATAGTGTGGCTTAACTGTGCATTTCTTTTACGAGGCTCCCTTATTGCGCTAATCGTTATTTTAGAGACTATGTGAGAGGATACTTCTCGTTCTTCTGTTGTGCTGCAACTTTCAGTGTATCAGAGGTTTAGAGCTCATCAGGACTTGTCCATTTTTGTGCAATTCTATTCCATCGATCAATTAATTCCATTTATTCAAGTCATAAAATGTCAGCAAGTGTTGTAGATAGAGACTAATCATGTTGAAATATTGTCCCCAAACAATTCTGTTGATTCCAGTCATTCGCTGCAACAATGCTCTAATTTCCTTTCCATTTGACATAACCATTTTTTGAATCTGGAATTTATTGCACATCATGTCTGTTTAAACTGACATAATTAGATTATCATTTTCCATTTCACATTGGCTTACTTTTTCTTTTCAGTTGCCAGAATTGATAGTGATTTATAGAAGAATATCTGAGACCATAAGTTGTGATTAGATTCATTTACTCATTTCACTGATGATTCTTGTAAATTGCCTTGTAGGTGCTTGTGATGACAGCCCAAATTCTGCTGGACAACCTACGTCACTGCTTTTTCAAGCTGGAGATGATTAAATTGCTAATATTTGATGAATGCCACCATGCAAAGGGACGAAGTCCTTATGCTTGTATAATGAAGGTGGGATACTAAGTTTGTCAAGATGGAATGGATATGTGATTATGAGATATTGAGAGTTAACTTGTGGGAATGAGATGTCTTTTTCTTTAGGTTGTTTGGTTTCTTCATTGACTCGATTCTTAGTTTTTAAGACATTGTGTGAGGTTGGAATGAGGTTTTCTAAAGAGGTCTCACTTGTCCACAGGAGTTCTATCACAGGGAGTATCCTCTTAATTCAAGAATACCAAGGATATTTGGGATGACTGCTTCTCCGGTTAATTCCAAGGGTATACATTTGGTGTGCAATTTTAGTCATATTTTATTTACCGTTTTCTATGCCACTGATGTTGCACTGCTAAAGAAAGTGCCTTTTTCATGGCCTTTTTAGTTTTTTGTCCTTTCATGATGTCATAATGGATTATTATGTTTCATTATGGTGAGTTGTGTGGCTTTGACAAAGCCTGTATTTGAACTAGAGTCCTGGAGCTAATTATCCATCATCATTGTTTTGCTGTTAAAATTGAATGTGAAATTATGTACTTGTGCCTTACTGGCCACTCTCCTTTATCTGAAGACTTTCTTTCCTTTCTTGTAGGATTGGACTCACAACAAGGTTATGGGAATAAAATCCAAGACCTTGAAACTCTGTTGAATTCAAAGGTTGGATTTTGAAGACGCAACCACTTGCATTAAACTGTCTTGATTTTTGTATTTCAACCCATTTTGTCATATAGTTCTTTGTGGCTTCATTGTTCGTTTAAATTCACTTTCTTTGTATAATGTTTTGTGTGTGTTGAATAATGGTATTTTGCGTGCTAACAACAAGAGAAGTTTGTTTGCTTTTCATGATTCTAGTGTATTTTTCATTGTATTGCCCTAGATTTTGTAAACTTGAATTGAACTGCTCATCAAACAAACTCTGGATGTATATGTACAGGTTGCTAGGGACCTTGGTTGTTGTGACATTTTGTGTAGAACCTGAGTCACTCAAATCTTATCACTTGGATTATTTGCTTGGTTACCTTTGCTGACCATTCTACTATGAGTTTTGGTTATTTCTATGTTTTAAGTGTATACTATATCATTTTCCCTTTATATGATTGTATTTATTATTTGGGTCATGACAGTTCTCCTGAAACCCTTATCAATCTGTCATATGCATTCCCTAGACCTTGTTGCTGCGTCATAGCTCACCAGCTGTACGATAGCAAGCCTGTTGTTTGGGTTGAATGCAAAGTGCTGGGCTTATATGGGTGTTCGTCTCATGAATGTTAGCAACGTTGAGGAAATTTTAAGTTTATTTTGTTCAGTGATTGCTTGGTTGGGTTCATGCATGATTTTGTGTGGTTGGCTAGCTTAGGACATTGTTGCAGATGTTGCACTTATTGGAATTGTATGACATTGCTCAGATTTAATTCTCCGCCTGATAAGGGGCCCTAACATCTTCTTCATCGCAACTTTAATTTATACCCCAATTTTTTTGATAAAAAGGTTACACCTAATCTTTATTTGCCGATCAGTATACTACTACTTGATGGAGCAGAATGACAGACCAAGATTCATGCAGCCTTATCCCAATTAGTTGGGAAAAGGCTCTGATGATGATGATACATGTAGAAATTAAGGGTTGGAGTTGCGTTTGTGATTGTATGGGGGTGAATTGTGAAGATTTGTAAATATTTATCTTGTGATTAGTGTCTCTTGTTATTTTTCTCTCCGGGTATTTCAAGAACTTTGTCCTAGTATATTTGAATACAAGCCTTAACTCTTCATTGTTGATTTGTTGATGCCAATTATGTTACTCTTTGGATAAACCATTTGAGTTGCACTTATTGTTTTTTACTTGTAATTTTTAGGTGTTTACAACAGTGGAGGAATCTGAGTTGGCTGCATATATCCCATCTTCAAATGTTAAGCTCAAACTTTACAATCATGTAGACATTCCATGTTATCTATCTTCATCCATATTTGCCCGTCTGCAGGATTTGAAATTGAAGGTATTTATTTGACTTTTTTTCTTTTTTATGGTCATTACTTGGTTGCTTGTTTTGTAGTTATTTTTTCACTTTTTCATGAAGGTGATTGACCTTTGCATCATTTGATCTTTAAATGGATCCAAATCAAATTTGGCAACGCCAGCTTAGCTAGGGACTTTAGAATCTTCTGACCTTGAAGGATGAATTCGAGATTGTGTGGAATTTACAAAATTGGGCATGGAATGAATTTTCCTTGAGGAACCAAATGATTTTTTCATTAAGTTATGTAAATAGGATATAGTGAGAAGCATAGTGAGAAGCATGAATGAGTATTTGATAGCCTCATGATTTGACAAGTGGAATGTGTCCCCCATTCATTTGTTTCTTTGTTAGAAACACGAGTCTTGGACTCTGATGATCAGTTATTGCCAATATTTATTTGAATGGTCTTGCCAGGGATTGACTTGTGATTTCATCCTTTTGAATTTAAGCATTGGATAGTGCCTAATGTTGGTAAAATGCTATCTAAAAATAACATGTATGGAGCTATGTCGATTGCATGTTTGTTTTGCATATTGTTATTTTTCATGATCCCTTTTGTGATGAGTCAGGTGTGTGACCTTTAAAGTTTTTCTGGTATTCTATACACACATACTTGTGAATTAGAAATTTTATACGTCACTTTCGTTATGTGAACCAGTCGGATTTGATTTTGACATGATGTCAATATGTAGATGCCAAGTTTGGGAGAATGAAACCTTGTCCTGTGTGAAGGTTGGATTTTTTTGTGCTTTTAATATTTTTTAACCTTCCCTACTTGGTTAAAGTTACCTTATCTTGACGTGTCGGACATGTTTAAATTAAACTGTGCTTAAATTAGACTCATTACCTTCTACTGGTAGTCTGGTAATACCACTAGTGTTTTCTATTACTTGGAACATTTAAACTTCATATAATGACACTTTATTTTATGTACAATAGAAGCTTCAACTAGGTGTGGCATCAAGAAATGATAGAATTCAAAATGAATGCATTCGAGGGAACTTAGGTGTGGTTTCAATAGATAATATGATGAGGGAAAGTAGACTTAGGTGGGCAGGCCACGTGTAGTGTAGACCTAATACAACATTGGTTAGGAGGTACGATTTGGTTCAAGTGGAAGCTCTAAAGGGCACAGGGAAGCCCCAAAAGACATGGATGGAATTACTGAGAAAAAATATGGGGCTTTATAGTCTTACTGAGGGTATGGCCTTTGATAAAGTAGTATGGATGAATAAAATTCATATAGCTGACCCTAAATAGTTGGAATACGGCTCCGGTGATGATGGGGAGCTTCAACTAAATAAAGAGAGCATGGATTTTGTTCCAATCTCATGATCTATGGCATAATCTAACATTGGGAGGTGATTAAGAATATCAATTTGTTCTGTAGTCAAAGTAAATGTTGGTCTTCTTTATTTTTCTTATTGATTGTTCGGTCTATATATTGTGTTTAGTCAGTGAATTATCATGACCTTTTTAAGTTTAGTACAAAGTTGTTATGACCAGAGGAGGTCGAAGTGGTGAGGGTGCTAGTTCAGTTGAACTTGTCAAACCGGTCAAAACGTAAACCATAAAAATAAAATTTCCAAAAGTAAATGCTAAAATATAATAGTAATCCCTAATTTAACCTCAACTACTTGGCAATGTTAAAGCTACCCATGCTCATAGTAAGAAGCCAAGGCACATCGTCAAATATTTAAAAGACTCTGCCATGAGTCATTGTGAACATACGATAGGGCGCGATTAAATCGTGATGACTGGGATGCAATAGCTACTTGAGGACGTGTACGAGAATAAAAAGGCAATCGCACGGATTTCGCCCCGACCTTGCTTGCCCCTTCCCCAGAAGCCGTACAACCCACCCTTCCTTTGTTGTTGGTGAGAGCCTACTAGACCGATCGCCCTCCTCTCAGCAGTGCCCGAACTTATACCTTACTTACCCCCCGCTCCAAGTAGGGCAATCGCCTCGAACGGAGCAGACTTTAGTTCTTTGCCAGGTCGGGACATTCAATGAGGAGAAAGGGGAGCCAGACGCCTCATGATTTACCATACTCTACATTCACTATAAAGTAAGGGAAGTGCAGTCACTCACTTTTTTAATGGTCTACCCAACAATGGTGGTGAATTATAGTGTGGAACACTAGAAAGTTTTGCCTCCCATGCTCTGGGTCTCATAATTAACAATAGTGGGTGGATATGCCGAATGTGCTTCCAAAAATAAATGGAGTTCATAGGTTTGATGATGGTCCACATATTCATTGCCAATTTTTTATGATAAAGCAACTAGCCATGGCCATGAGTGAGCATTTGGTGACTAAAGCACGCTAAAGCCATGAGAGAGAGATAGAGGAAGAATAATATTTCATTAAAAAATGATAAAAAGACTAGCCATGGTCATGAGTGATCATTTGGTAACTTAAGTGCATTAAAGCCATGAGGGAGAGATAGAGGAAGAATAATATTACATTAAAAAAAAAGCAAAAATATGAGAATATGAGAGAGAGAGAAGAAGGGAACCTCTATAACAAAGAAAGAGAAACTTAAGAAGTTCCATGATCAAACAATTGTACCCCTCTCGTCATCCTCAAGCTCTTCCCTCTTTTTTGGCTCCAAGTTTTATTTTTATGTAATCTTTTTTCTAAATTGAACCTTCCCATCTTTTTCTAATCAAATGGGTGTTGAATTGGACTTTACTTGGGGCTTGAAAACTTCGAATGGAATCAGTGTTTGAAACCACTACTCTGGGTGAGTACTCGGGCCATTTCCGATCCGAGTACTCGACTCGAGTAGTGCTGAGTACTCTAGCAGGAAAAACAATAGGTTAAAAATTATAAAAAAAATAGGAAATGTATATTTGAAGTAAAATTAAGCAAAACACATCAAAATGAGGTTAAAAAGTAGTAAAATAATATATTTTAAAAATCAATTTGTGAATGGGGGTATTTTCGAAATAATCCAAAAAAGATGGGACAATGTAAAAATAAGTATTTATGGCCAAAACACATTCCAATCTTTGCCAAAATGATAGAAAACATAAAAAACATATCTATTTTTTTTTTTGAAGAAGTTAACATTGTATTAAAAGTTATGGAGTACACATAGTGATACTAGTGAACACACAAGTAAATCCTTTGAGGAGGGATAAAGTAAACCTCTGTGGTTAGTTGTAGTACAATGGGTACACTTGAAAGACACTAACCATAGGCTTAACATGGATGGATTGGGGTGTTTTACAAGTGTTTTGGCCTCAAAGAGGCAAGCTAGCATTAAAAGGATAGACCGAAGAGATATGAGGCAAAGACAAGCCGATCGGGAGGTCTTCCAGGCTTATGTAGCAGCTGTGGGTTGCATGTTGGCTTCCTCCTTAGCTAGACGGTCCTCCAATGCGTTTGATTCTTGCCAAATATGCGTCCATGAGATGGGAATATCCCTGTAGATGTGAGAAATCTCATAAAAAGTCGTAGAGAGGTACCATGGGGGGGAGACAAGCCCTGTAGCCCAAGAGACCATATTGCATGCATCCCCTTCCACCAGAAGTGGTTGACTCCACGCAAGATCAAAAAGTTTGATACCAGTGAGCAAGGTGAGAGATTCTGCTAGTTGTGAATTGGCATGAGCTATGTGACTTGAGAATTGTCCCAAGATGTTTCCTAGGTGGTCTCTGAGCACCCCTCTACCCAGAGGGGCCGGGATTTTCGAGCGAGCAGCTGTCAAAGTTGAACTTAATTGCACCCGATGGAGGGGGGACCAGTCCCTAAGGCGTGGGGGTTGAGAGTAGTGAAGCATCAGTAATTGTTGCCAATTGGCAAGGAAAATAGAAGAAGGAAGAGCTTGAAGGCCTTATGATTGATGGTCTACAAAATCATGAGTATGTGGATTTTATGGAACGGGGCAGGATTATCGCAATGGACCCCTCTGAAGAGTCTAGAATTCCTTTCTTTCCATAGAGTTCAAATCGTTGCCTCTGTCGCTGCCTTCCATAAAAGCCTCCCAGGTTTGGCCCACGGGAGGCTGGGAGGCTGTTGCTAAGTTAAAAAGCCCGGGGATGGAAGCCGGTATGACCCAGGTTAGGCCAAAAAGTTTGAGGAGTTTGGTCCACTGGTAAAGAGCAACATCGCAGTGGATAAACAGGTGGGAGTGGGTCTCTTCTTCTTTATAGCAGAGAACGCAACGATTTGGTAAAGCGAAGCCTCTTCGCCTGAGTTGGTCAACCGTTAACGCTTTTCCTCCACAAGCGATCCAGTTAAATGCTTGCACTTTTGGTGTGCTATTGATGACCATACCTTGAACGTTACCTGGGGGGGAGAGCGGTGAAATGGTAGCAAGCTCCTGTAGAAAGAGGCCACTGAGAACGAGTCTGATGGCTCTGGCTTCCATATGATCCCATTCGGCCCTGACAGTGGGAAGAAGTAGTCATTGAGCAAGGCCGAGAGGTAAATGAAATCCAGCATTTTGGCAGCAGAAAGAGACCTTCTGAAAGAAGGATTCCATACTCTTCTTATACCTATCAGCTGTAGCTCTTCTGAGATCCAGGCTAGCGGGTTAGTGGTGAGTGAATACAAGGAAGGAAAGCGATCCCTGAGAGGGGAGTGGCCCATCCAGAGGTCGGACCAAAATCGAATCTTGCTGCCTAACCTCGGGAGGAATCTGATGTATAGTTTGAAGGTGGACAACACCAACAAGAATGATTTCCAGGCTCCCGAGGGTCTACTGTGGGGCCTCCCATCCGGTAGCCAGATTTCAGGGGCAATTCTATATTTATGTCGGAGCACTTGTGACCAAAGCTGATTAGGGGAGTTCGCCAAGCGCCACCACCATTTACCTAGGAGAGCCATATTTTGCTTTCGCAGGGAGCGAATCCTTAGTCCGCCTCGAGTCTTCGGTCGGCAGACGTTTCCCAAGAAACGAGGTGGAAAACATAGAAAACATATCACAAATAAATTCCTTATTTTTTGGGATTTTTATGATTTTTTTAATTCCTTTTAATATCCTCGATGGGACACGTAACTCGGGGAAACTTGGGTTGCGAGCCTGAGTACTCGGCTTAACATCATTGGTTTAGTGTGGATGCCTATATCTTTGTATATAGCTGTATGTTGTCTTGCATTGTTTAAAAATCTTACTCTTCCATTTTTTTGTTTTTGTTTTATACTGTACTTGCTGATTGTTTTGTTATTGTTCTATTTCCTCTTTGATAGCATACTTGCGATTTGGATGGGGTTCCTGCTAATGGATATGTCAATGATAGTGTAAGGCGAAAGATAGCGAGGCTCCATGACACCTTTCTTTTCTGCATACAAGAATTGGGTGTTTGGTTGGCAGCGAAGGTGTAGTTTATTTCTGATCATGATCTCTTGATATGCTCCTTATATGTTTTAAGTGCCAAGGAAGTGGAACTGATGATTTTTGTTTTGAATGGCAGGCTGCAGAGTCTTTGTCAACCAATGAAACTGAAATTTTCCTTTTTGATTGGATGAACGATGAAGTCAACAAGAACACCGTGAGAAGTTTCAGCCAGGATGTTCTGGAGATGCTATCGGAATATATCCCAACCGGTAATTGTATTTCAACTATTCCTCTACTTGGCTGTCTTTGATATTTCTGTGACTCCAAGTGAAGCCTGTGCATTATGTGGATAATTTTGAAGCAGAATTTGTTGTGTTGGATGGCCTACTTTCTTCTGATGTGAGTCTTCCCTTCAGTCTTTGTGTACAGCTTGTCAAAATAAAGTGTTTAACCTCTTTATTTTGTTGGTTTCTTTTATTTTATCTTGCAACAGTGGATGATGCTTTGGTGGTTTATGTTCAATTGTTATCGTAGGTGGTTTGACCTTGAATTATGTGAAGAGATTTCTTTGTTAATGTGGACCTTGTTTTCAGCACTAAGAAAAAAAAACATCTACCTTTTTATAGTATTATTTGTGTAGGTGAATTATGGCATATCGGCAGTAATCTCAAAGCTGATTTAGATGCTGGACTTTTGAGTGGAAAGGTCCATTGCCTCATTCAATCACTTATGGAATACAGGTTTGTACTGAACTACTCTCTTTTTTATTTATTTATTGTGCTCTTTTTGTTGTTGGTTTCATCACAAATACTCTTTTTTTTATTGTTGCAATCGTCTATCTGTGAGTCGGTATCTGGAATCTAAGATCCTTGTATCTTCTTGGTTGTGGATCATGAAATACTCTATGGTCTATGGTGGGGAAAAATGTTAATATTGTTTGAAACCAGTGAATAAAAATCATTTTCAACTTGGAAAGACTCGCAAAGTCAACTAGACTTGGACAGGTTGAGTTATAAAAAATAAAATTCAGGTATACCCTATGCACACACACATGCACACACAGCCTCTCACTTATATGCTATTCCCAAGGTGGCCGTGCAGTTCTAGAACTTGGTCTATGACCAGGGTTCGAATCCCAGCGTGGACACTTTATTTTCTACGCTCTTCAAAGAATGTCCTAAAAACTTGTATGTGTTTTATGGAGTTTAACTGTTTGAATTGGTTATTCAATCTGGGTTCAGTAGGGACTGAGTTGATCGCTCTGTCTGTGTTTTTAAATACTATTAAAAATGAAGCTGTTTTCTTTTGTTGGTAAATTCTGCAGCTTGGATCATTTTGAATGAAAATTTTGCTCTTGCTATGCTTGGTACCCTAAATGTGCATGTTTACATGTTATGGGAGATCCATATTATAGTCTTTGAAGTTCTCTTTGGATATTTTGGTATTGATGTATATAAGCACTCCATTGTTTTACCTATTTTCTCTTCCTTAGTGGTGTTTCACATTGTGTTAGTAGTTGGGAGGCATGGAGTATTATGGGGCCCGTGTTGCTTTATAAGTCTCAGTTGAATAGTCAACCTGGTGCTTCATTTCTTTTATGCTCATACATCAACCTTGCAAGTTTTCCAATTTTATTTAAAACTCACTTAAATCAACTCAGACAAATTCTTCCGCAACTTGATTTTTCTAAGCATACTTGATCCTCGTATTTTAAGTTGGTTGAGTTTTCCATCAACTCGATTTTTTTTATTTTTTTTTTAAGTTCTTAGGTGGAATTGATACTTGAAAATTTATTAGTCCAAATTTTTGAAGCCTTCAATTCATTCATGTTCAAATATGTTGATCCTTAGAATTAATTATAAGCTTATTGTAATTCCATTGTATTTGAGTGACTTAGGCCCCATTGGATTGACCAAATTTTCGTAATAGGGCATTTTCCCCCTCTACCCATTTAGGAAAATGGCACACCCTAGTCAGCTCCTATATTTATGGGTGACGGGCTTTCGGAACCCCGCTTATCAAAGGATGTCGTCAAAATGCTCATTGCCCTTAAACAAATGTTTTCTTTGTTGACAAATTACCATTTATTCAATAGACATTTTGAGCTGTCCAAATGGGGCCTCAGTGTGCATAGTTCTGGATTGGCTGGATCATGATCCTCCTACTTAATACAATGGTATGATCTGAAATATCATATGAGAGATGTGGACTTGTGATGCATTCATTCAAACATGAGGCCTTCTGGAAGATTTGTTTGTCCTTTGGAGGTTTAAAAGGACTGGATAATTGGAATCTCAATGGTCTTTAGAGGGTTTGTGATGTGGCAGATGGACCCATTAAATGACCATTACATAAAACATAGATTTGGGCCATGTTGCTTTCTTACTCTGGTAGATAGAAGAAACATTTGGGGTTGAGTTCTCATAATCAATATTATGGGACTTGCAATATGATATACAGAGTCGGGTTCTAGGGCATGAAAATCCTTGAGCGTTTTGATTTCTGAAGTTTGGAAAGATGAGCACTGATATTACAGGTATTGTGCACAATGACATGGTGCACCTCTCAAGAAAACACAAATGACATTGATACAACTCCTAGGGTCATGGGAGGTATTGCGCACAATGACATGGTGCACCTCTCAAGAAAACGCAAATGACATTGATACAACTCCAAGGGTCATGGGTATGGGCTCTAGGAAAAAGTGGTCAGGCAGGTGCCACAGCGTGACATCTAGTTCCATTTATTTAGAAAAAAAAAAAAAAACTAGGAAGGTTTTGGATACCAAGATGAAGCTTAACTACCCCTTTTCAAACCTTGAAAAAAATGGAGGAGAAAACTTGCTAGTCCAATTTCATCAGAACTTTCTGTCCCGAATTGCTGTCTTTCCTCACCAAAACCACCACGGAAACAAGGTGGTTTTCTGTTAGAGGATCTCTTGTTGGTTGATTTCTTTATCGCATCTCAGATCTGACCTCTTGTGGGTTAATCTCCAACCATCTATAAGCATTTTGCAGCTGTTAAATTCCCAAATCTGAGTTTTGATCACAAATCAAGCTTTTTTTTTTTTGGTGCTCACATCGATTAGACATGGCTTCTAAGAAGGGAAAGTGTCTTGATTGTAAAACTTGACGGGAAAAACTATCATGATTAGTGCTTTCATTTGCAGTTTTGGGTTTAAGGAAAGGGTTAGTGGGGGTATGTTGATGAAACTGATTCACAACCTACTCCATCCAACCTCAGAAACCAACAATGGAAGGCAAACACTGCTTAGATTGTCTCATGGATCCTAAGTTCTATGGACACAAACATCTAAAGGTCAATGAGAGGGTTTTGCACTGCAAAAGAAATGTGGGAATATCTGGGGAAGGTTTATAGAGAGGGAAGGTCAATTGAGTATGATATGTTACTTATAGAGAGGGGAGGAAGATTACCGAGGAAATTGTGTTGCATTTATGAACTAGTGGAAGGAATATGAATCTATGAGCAGTGTAGGAAAAATCGGGGTGTTCAAATTCTAACTGCCCCGTTCCGGTTTCAGCCAGTTATGGTGAATCAGCCGGGTATTTTAAAAATAATTCAAAACAATTATATAGAATCCCAAAAAATAAGGGATTGTGTTTGTAATGATTTTTTAATGTTTTTCATCATTTTGGCAAAGATTGAAAATTGTTTTGGCCATTAATACTTATTCGAAAAATTTTATATAAGGTTGCAACTTTAAAATGTAGAATTAAGGATGCACCTCAAAAATCCATCGAAAAAGGTTGTTTGAATGTTGAAAACCCCTCTAATTGATTATGTCTACGTCAAGATGTATGAATATTAAAAAAAAGGAAAGATTTTTAGTTCCAAAAATAGTGCATCTTGCAACACGTTAGCTAGACTGTCCATTCAGATTTTCATATGTTTATAGATCTACTTGATTTTAATCATTTTTGGAGTTTAAAATTTTATAATTAGATACGAAAATAGATTTTCAGATAATCCTAAGAACTTTTTACACCAAAATTACATGTTATGATAAAATATGGAGGTGCGCCTTAATTGGATTGTTTAAGCTTGCAACCTTATAGAAACCGCACCCATACTTATTTTTACATTTTCCCATCTTTTTTAGAAAATTTCAAAAATACCCTTAGGCGCAAATCGATTATTTAAAATCCATTTTTTTCATTGATTTTGAACTTCATTTGGATGTGCTTTGTTTAATCATGCTTTAAATATACTTTTCATATTTTATTAGATTTTTTCTATTTTTGTTTTTTTTAAACACTTTTTGGACCGCCTGGGGCTTGTTCGGTTAGGCTGGTTAAATTGGCCGGTTTACCGGTTAGTACCGAGTAACTGCTTCCTGTCCCATGTCCGGTTAACCGTTCCGGTTCGATTTTTCCTACACTGTCTATGAGTATGGAGGCTATAACACTTGTTGCATTGAAAGTTTGAAGTAGATAAATAATGAAAGGAAGATGATGCAGTTTATGAAGAAATTACGCCCAGAATATGAGATCATTCGAGCTAATATCTTGAATTCTGAAACACTACTATCATGGATGTTATTCTTAGTCAGTTACTTCGTGAGGAGATTAGAATTAAAGCACATGCCACCATTGAAAGGAAGAGGGATATAAAATTTGTCTTTGTTGCCCAACGAACTAGAGGAAAGCCATTATAAAAGAGCCAATCTTCATTGAAATGTTATGAACAATCTTCAAGAAGGCGGAGGCAGCCGCCTAGGTGGTGGGGGGTCTAGGCTGCTAAGGCAGCCTAGGCGGGCACCCAAACGCAAAGGTGGATACTGTTTTTTATTTATTTATTTGTTGTTGGATCCCCCAGACGTCCCCCCATTTATTGTATATATTATATAATAATAATTACACATTAATACTATTTTTTGGTTTACCAATAAATTAATAATTAATATTACATGCAAAAAGCATTTTCATAGTTATTATTTTTGGGTTCCCAATAGATTAATTACTATTAGATGGAAAATTCATTTTTGATAAATTAGTAATTACGTATTTTTTTGGTTTCTCAATAAATTAATAATTAATGCTACATGCAAAAAGAATTTTTCATAGTTATTATTTTTGGGTTCCCAATAAATTAATTAGTATCATATGCAAAGGCATTTTCGATAAATTAGTAATTACGAATTAATATTATTTTTTTGGTTTTCCAATAAATTAATATATGTAAAAAGCATTTTTGTAGTTATTATTTTTTGGTTCCCAATGAATTAATTACTATCACATGCCAAAGGCATTTTCGATAAATTAGTAATTACGAATTAATATTATTTTTTTGGTTTTCCAATAAATTAATATATGTAAAAAGCATTTTTGTAGTTATTATTTTTGGCCAATGAATTAATTACTATCACATGCCAAAGGCATTTTCGATAAATTAGTAATTACAAATTAATAATATTTTTTTGATTTCCCAATAAATTAATAATTAGTGCTACATGTAAAAAGCATTTTCGTGGTTATTATTTTGGGGTTCCCAATAAATTAATTATTATCTCATGCAAAAGGCATTTTTTGATAAATTAATAATTATGAATCAATATTATTTTTTTGATTTTCCAATAAATTAATAATTGATGCTACATGCAAAAAGTGTTTTCGATAAATTAATAATTATGAATTAATACTATCTTTTGGTTTGTCAATAAATTAATAATTATTGTTACATGAAAATTACGAATTAATTATGATATTTTCAAGACGGTGCCTTGGGCGCCTAGCTTTTTACGCCTAATATAGTCCGCGTTGACCACGTCTAGGCGTTGTTTGAAAAATTCCGTTGAGGGGTCCGGGCAGCCGACTTTTTGTTCGTTGGTTATGAATGTAAAGATTATGGCCATACCGCATCCCATTGTAAGAAGAAATAGTTTTATGTTTATTGTAAACATCCTGGATGCATTATTGTTTGTCGCGACCATGTTAGATCTGAGGAAACTACTTAAAAGGCATCCTGAGACTTGATTATCTAAATGCAAATAAACTAGATGCTTTATTTTCTTCGAGTTCTTTGACTAATAAAGTGCGTGTTTTAAATTCTGTCATTAAATCTTATATTAGTTATTCATTGATAGAAGTGCTAGTTTGACCTTTCCTACTTGAGTAGATACTGCGACTACACCTTTTTAGTCTTATTCATAATGATGTGTGAGGGCCTACTTCGACTTTATCTAGAATGGGTGCAAGTATTTTGTTTTGTTTAATATGATTATATACGTTATACCTGAACATGCTTTATGCACCATAAATCTTAAGTCTTCTCGCATTGCGAAAGTGATTTCCTATAATTTTTGAAAGCTCACGGGGATCCAATGGCAGAAAATTTGCCCCAATACTCTAGAGCAAAAAGGCATAGCTGAGAAAAAAAATTGTCATATTCTAGATGTTGTTAGGACCCTCATGCATGACTCTCATATTCTTCATAGGACCCTCATGCATGACTCCCATATTCTTCATACTTTTTGGGCCGAAGCTGCATCCACGGTTGTTTATCTCATAAATTGTCTCCTATCTCGATTTTGCATAACGAATCTCCATAATGTCCATTATTTCATGTTCATCTGATTATTCTCTTTTACATGTCTTTGGATTTGTTTATTTTGTTCATCTTCTTGCACGACAATGCAATTTTTTGTTCAATTAACCACTTGTGTCTTTGTGGGTTATTGCGTTGATCAAAAGGGATTTCTCTGTTATGTTCGAGCAACTCTTCATCTTTGTGTCTCACCATGTATTTTTAGAAAGCTTATTTTTTATTCTTCTTCTATAGCTAAATCCACGGGCTCCTCGGCTTCTTTCTTACGAGATTTCTCGGCTTCCCCCTATCTCTCCACTTGTTTTTTCAAATTCGCTTAATGTTTCTTCCAGTTCCACTAGTAAACTGCCACAATTTTTGGTGTATCAGCAATAGGCAAACAAAAATAATGCTCACCTCCTTTGGCTCACCAATTAGAGCATGGTTAGTCTTCTACCCTACCTATAAGTGATTCTCTTCACCTTCCCGTTTCTCCTAACCCTGCTTCTTTGGTAACTCTACCCAATTACGATGTCCCAAATGTATAATTGATCCTCCTGACTGATATGGTTTTTCTCTTGATGATTTTGGTTTTTCATTGCACCTTGGATCTTTGTTTACTTTTCATGATACCATCGATATTCCTTTCAAACACTTTGTTTACTTTCTATATTATTACTTGCCTCCTTGAATCAATTGATATTCCTTTTGCTTATTAATAAGCCTCTACAATACTATATTAGAAGGAGGTCATGGATGAAACGATAAGTGCCTTGTTGGAGAATGATAATAGGATATCGTGCCTTGCCCTATTGACGCTTCTATCATTGGCAGTAAATGGGTTTTCTTTGTGAAGCTTAAACGCGATGGAGGGATGGAGCGATATAAAGCACAGCTAGTTTCTCAAGGCTACAAGGAGTATGGCATAGACTATGAAGAAACATTTTGTATTGGCAGCTAAAATGACCGTGGTGTGTATAGTGATTGCCCCTTCAGCTATTCCCTAATGGACTATCTCTTAGATGGATGTGAATAATGTGTTTCTTAATGGACTTTTGAAAGAGATAATATATATGCGACCTCCTCCTAGGTTTTATCATGACAAGCCTATGGTTTATCATTTGATGAAATCCTTGTATGTCTTGAAAGAAGATCCACAAACATGGTTTCAATGATTTCGATAGATCCTTCTGGGTGTTGGATTTCTCCAAAGCTCTCACGACTATTTTCTATTTACCTACTATTGTTTTACTATTGTTTTACTATTGTTTCTCAGGGGCAATAATTCTTCTCCTATATGTTTATGATATGCTTATAACAGGTGACAACCATGCCTATATATTATGCTTGAAAGAGCTTCTTAGTCACTCATTCAAGATGAAGGATATGGGTCCACTAACTTACTTTCTTGGTCTAGAGATTCATTACTCCCCACCAGGTGGTGTGTTTTCTTGAAGCTCCCGAATACTGTGGAAATGCAAGAAACAACACGCTGTATCAAAATCATCTACGGGAGCCGAATATAGGGCCATGTCCTTAGCTTATAGTGAAATCACTTGGTTAAGAGGTCCTTTACGTGACGAATATTTTTCCTCGATCTCTCATGCCTTTATTTGTTGATAATAAGAATGCTCTTTGTATTGCCTCTAATCCAATGTTCCATAAGCACAAAGCATATAGAAAGCCAATTGTCATTTCATTCATAAACAATTCCTGGATGAAGAGATCACACTCCCACATGTTGCCTCACAACAACAACTTGCATACATTTTTACCAATTTAATGACTCGGGCCCGACATGACTATCTCATTGATAAACTAATGTTGTTTAACCAGCCTCAGTTTGACGGGGACTGTAGGGACTGTTGAAGATCTTGTATTATTTATAAGGGAAAATATCTCCTTATCTCTTATTTTAACTTCCATATCTTATGAGACCCAAGAATTGAAAATATTACTGTAAGCAAAAGGTCTCCATCTTTTCTATCTTACAACCCCCTGGACCCCTTTGACCATATATTTTTGACCCAAACAAACACTAAAATGACACCCTCTTCAAACTCCATCTCTCTCTTCGCTTCTCAATGTGTTTACCAGTCAAGGGGATTAGCTTGAGCTCAAACACGAGGACACCTTCTTATGTGTGAGAGAGAGATGAAGTTTTAGAGAGAAAAGATGGAGTTTGGATTTTAGAGAGATGGAGTTTTAGAGAGAAAGAGAGATGGAGTTTGAGTTTTAGGGAGAGAGATGGAGTTTTGAGAGAGACCGACGTTGTGAGAGAGTGATGGAGTTTGAGATTTAGAGAGAGATGGAGTTTTGAGAGAGAGAGATGATGATGTGAGAGAGATGGAGTTTTAGAGAGAGATAGAGTCATTTAATAAGTTATTGAGGTCAATAATACATGGTCAAAAGGGTTTAGGGGTTGGATGATAGAAAAGAT